CATTTTAATATATTGTTCAGCATTTTTCATGGCACACACTAGTTTAGTTTTAGCGAGACAATAACAAAATAAAAACAAAGTTTGTTTGATATTTTTCGACATACAGAATAGGAACTTTCTACATCAGATTTTTGATGGACGAATTAACGATAGAATCCTGACAATTTACAAACTGCATTCTTATAAACAGAATCATATCACTTGAAAATTGAATTACAATAATCAATTTTGGAATTGGAATTGGATTTTTTTTCTTGCGCAATGTTTGAGTAAACAAGTGATCCCAGTAAGTACGCTTTATGTATTCCTTGCAGCTCTGTGATTGGTCAATACTGACATCTACATCTGTTTCAAACTTTTTTTATTGTACTGTATGCATGCTCTAGTGAGTGAGTTGCCATGTACACAGAAACAAGCATGACAAATGGAGATTATTAAAAATGCAATATTTAATGTTTACCCGTATTATAAATTAGTCATAAATGTCCACAGTGACACTGATCATATCTGAATTAAAATGCCAGTAGATTTATTGAAGGTATACCTCACTGGATTAACTCATTGTCAAAAATTTGAGGAATTTGCTTGCAGAAAACATTCACTTAAGAACATGCAAACCAATACGTAATGAATGACAAACAGAGGAATAAGTTACCTAGACAACGACTAATGCACCTGACACATTGAACGTAAAATTAGCGGCTCAAATGAGCTAAAGACCGTCTCCGTAGGATTACAGATAAGCTGCTATCAGATGAGTTTATTTCTAAACAGGTTTCGCGTCATAATCCCCACGCAGGTATTACGTTAAAAAGTCAGTTGAAAACAAAATGCCTAACATAGTCAGAACCGTTGCGTCTCGTGCAGTTCAGTGTAAGAATTCAAGAGAAAAATATACTAAAAGGAACTCATTAATATGTTTTGTTTCAGAGATATATAGACATACAATTACGAGTAATGTTATTTTCTTCGAAAAATGGGTTGTTTTGTGAACTATGCATGTATGTATGGGAGGCATTCAAGTACAAGCAAACTAATACGTAAATACATCTATATGGTATTAATTAACTGTCACAGTGATTAATTAGTTTGCTGATGCATAATTAAAACACGTTACAAGTAAACAGGTTGAAATGTCCATGACTTAGAAGCAAACTACTGAGTATATAAATTACAAACCATCAATCAAGTCAGGTCTGTATAAATCTTCCAGTAGAAATGTTATGCAATATTTTGCATACCGGTAATTTTATACATTTTTTAATATTTTCTTTGTTAATTTGGGACATATTGCCTTCAGGATTTGATTGAAACGTTTTAAAAAAAAAAAAAATATTGAAAAAATGATATAGGTTTTTTTTTTTGAAACAGGGAACAAATCTGACTTTGGCATTGTTTAAAAGGAGTTTACATTAGAACCATCCCTTACCTGTCATGGTGAATATTCCTACTGCTAAGCCAATATTTCTTCCCGCCAGCATAATCTCTTCGCAGTCTGTTTTGCCTTTGCTTTTCCGTGAAGCCCATAATCCCACACCAAGTATGAGTAGATAAAAGATGATGATAGCCACCAAACCGACCACATTGACCGTCATGATGAAAGATGATGAATAAAATATCGCCAAGAGTTGCCACAGAAAATTTTAAAAATTTGAAGCTCGGTTCAGTTATACTTCCATAGCAATTAAAAATTCTGCAAAAAAAAAAATACATTAACATGAACAAACCCCGGAAAATAAATATATATTTTTGATTATTCAATGATTGATGGGAATAGGTTTAAATTCAGCTAAAAATAAATTGAATTTAAAAACAAACTATGGTAATCAGCTAATTAATATGCATAAATATTCAAGACTGTAGAATAAGGAGAAAAAAAAATCTATTTTGAATTAATTCAATGAATGCGTGGGAAGGATTAACTATATATACTTTGCAATACAAGCAAACTGTTAATCAGCTAATTAATATGCATAAATATTCAGGATTGTAAAATAAGGAGAAAAAAAATCTATTTTGAATTAATTCAATGAATGCGTGGGAAGGATTAACTATAGATACTTTGCAATACAAGCAAACTATGTTAATCAGCTAATTAATATGCATAAATATTCAGGACTATAGAATAAGGAGAAAAAAGTCTATTTTGAATTAATTCAATTAATGTGTGGGAAGCATTAACTATAGATACTTTA